TTCTAGAGCCCCGTTGCATGAAGGGGGAGGTTGGGGGCGGAGGAGGGGAAGGGTCTCTCAGCTGGCCTGCACCCTCTCCAATCAGAGACCCCTCAGGGGATGTCCTACTGTGGATTGGGCCTAAACCGGCAGTCGGGCGTCCCTCTTGCAATCTGGGACTGCTGGCTCCTAGCCGCTCACCTGCCTGCCTGCCTGATCGCCCCTAACCACCTCTGCCTGCAGGCCTGATGGCCCCTAACTGCTCCACTGCTTGCCTGATGGCCCTAACCTCCTCTGCCTCAGCCCTTTGTCAGGAAGGATGTCCAGAAGACATCTGGTCTAATTAGCATATTACCCTTTTATTAGTGTGTTTCAGAGAGGAAGGGAGAGGGAGAAAGAGATAGAAACATCAATGATGAGAAAGAATCATTGATCGGCTGCCTCCTGCATGCCCCCAATGGGGATTGAGCCTGCAACCTAGTCATGTGCCCTGGGCTGGAATTGAACCTCAAACCCTTCAGTCCTCAGGCTGATGCTCTGTCCACTGAGCCAAAACAGCTTCCCCTCTGTTTCTTTTTTAAAATATATTTTCATTTATCTCAGAGAGGAAGAGAGAGGGAGGGAGAGCTAGAAACATCAATGATGAGAGAGAATCATTGATTGGCTGCCTCCTGCATGGCCCACACTGGGGATCGAGCCCACAACCTGGGCATGTGCCTTTGGCCAGAATCAAACCTGGGACCCTCAGTCCACAGGCTGATGCTCTTATCCACTGAGCCAAACTGGCTAGAGCCTCTCCTCTGTTTCTTTTTTTCTTTTTAAGACACAAAACTTAATAGAAATTTTGTTTGTAGTTCTTACATTCTCAGTGTGAACTGCACTGGAACCCACTGCCCCTCCAAGTGGCCCAGTAACGGAGGCCCGGAAGAAAGGGAGCTGGTGGGGGTATCAGAGCTCAGGCCCTAGGCACCCCAATCTTCCTCAGTGCTGGGGGGCTGAGGGATCCATCCTCTTCTCCTGCCCTCCTCTGGGCTCCAGGAAGGAGAACACATGAAATCCTGTGCCTGGGGCTATTCCACACTCCACATGCCCCAAGGTCGAAAGGAGAACTAAGGAACCTAAGGGGGAGAAGGAGACAGAAGAAGGCAAAGATGTGGGCCCAAGGAGAATGAGAGACAAAACACCAATAAGAAAGGGAGAGGGAGGGCGGGAACAATACCAAAGTCTACCCCAAATTGGAACCCACCTGGAAAAAAGGAAAGTTCTCCAGTCTCATAGAGACATTATTTGGCGCAGCCAGCTCTGTGATGGGAGCGCTCAGGCCTCAGCCCCGCCCTGGAAGCGATGGTGTGGCCCCTACAGCTCATCCTTGGCCTGGCCGGGGGCAGCACTTTCCTCCTCCTCCTCTTCCTCCTCCTCCTCCTCCTCCTCATTTTCATCTTTGTCCTCCTCCTCCTTTAGTCTCTGCTCCTCATCCTGCTTGTCCTTCATTTGTTTTTCTGCTGCCTTTGTGACTCCCCATGTCTCGTTGCCAAAACTCGTTGGCATATGCTTCATCATTGGTGATGAGTACCAGATGGTACCAGACTTGATCTGCCAAAGGTCTAGGCCCAGAATGGCAAAGTTTCCATAAGCATAGATACTGCTATCAGGAGAATGAATATTCAGGGTTGTCAATCTCTGGATGAATCCAGTGCCCTTGTAATCCAGGTTGTTGATCTGCCAGGGCTTCCACTTGCCCTTGTATTCTGGGTTCTGAATCACTGGTGGTTCCCACTCTCCATCCATGCCTTCATCCCAGTCCTCAGGCTTCTTAGCATCGGGGTCAGGGTTGTGCTCGGGCTGGTCCCAGTCCTCAGGTTTGGAGTCTATGGTGTCATCAATCTTGGCCCGCTTATTTCAGCCTTCAGGCTTTGAAGCATCAGGATCCTTTATCTTGTTGGGTGTCGGGAAGTCCCAATCATCCTCCAGAGAGCCAGACTCCACCTGGCTGTGGTCAGTTTTTACCTCGTAGGTGTTATCGGGCCCTAGAGTCAGTGTATACAGGTGTGTGAGTTCATCATCCTTGCAAAGGAAGTCCTTGTTGGTGAGCACGTTATTGCCCTTGTAGTTGAAGATAACATGAACCTCCTTGGTCCTAGGCCACAGATGTCAGGGCCAAACATGATGTTGTATTCCGTCTCTGTGCATGTCAGTCTGGTCCAAACTATCTGGAAATAGCTTCACGTAGCGCCGATGTTCTGCTCATGTTTCACGGTAAACTGCACCACCAATGTGGCCAAGGCCGGGGCAAGATTTCCTGGGTTCAAACCCCAGCTTTACAGATAACTAGCTGTGAGAGTTTGCATAATTGACTTTACCCCTTGAAGTTCCAGTTTCCCCATCTCTAAAATGGGGGCACCTTCCTTCTAGGCTTCCTGTGAGAATGAGACAAATGGATCCAAGATGTGAAACTTCAAACAGTGCTCAGTACATAAGTACTCAATCATAAATCTGGTTTGGTTTGGTTTTTCTCTCTGAATTTGCTCCTCCGAAGTAGGGTTTCCCAGGACAACCTCAAACTGATGGGCTTTTTCTGAGGGTTCTCATCCCACGTTGGGTTCCAGAATTGGGGTTCCTTTCCTGTGAACTGTGTGTGTGTGTGTGTGTGTGTGTGTGTGTGTGTGTGGTGGAATCAGGGTGTGGAGTGAGAGTGTAGATTGGAACATCATTTTGACCTTGTGTGAGAAAGCAGCACCCTGCACAGGACTGGTGACAGAAAGCAGACATGAGGGGTCAGCTCAGCTCTTCGGTTTCAAAGCAACCAGGCCCTGCCCCCCAGCAGGAGCTGCTGAGTAAAGAATGGAAAACAGTTCCTAAGGGAAAACTGTTGTTTTTCTGGAAAACTGCCCTCTTGCCCTGGCTGGGTAGCTCAGTTGGTTAGAGCATTATTCCAATATGCCAAGGTTGTAGATTCGATCCTCAATCAGGGCACATACAAGAATCAACCAATAGCCCTCGCTGGTTTGACTCAGTGGATAGAACATCGGCCTGTAGACTAAAGGATCCTGGGTTTGATTCTGGTCAAGGGCACATACCTGGGTTCTTGGCTCGAGCCTCATTAGGGGTGTGCAGGAGACAACTGATCAATGATTCTCATCATTGATGTTTGTATCTCTCCTCCCTTCCTTTCTGAAATCAATAAAAAAAAAAATTAAAAAAAAACTCTACTTAAAAAAAAAATGATTCAATGAATGGGCAAATGAGTGAAATAGCAGGTCAATGCTCTTCTCTCCCCTTCCTTCTTCACTCTAAAATCAATAAATAATCCCTGGCCAGCATGCTCAGTGGTTAGAGTATTGGCCTGAGAATTGAAGAGTTGTGGGTTTGATTCCTAGTCAAGGGTCCATTCCTGGATTGCAGGTTTGATTCCTGGCCCGGTTGGGTGCATGTGGGAAGCAACCAATCTCTCTCTCTCTCTCTCTCTCTCTCTCTCTCTCTCTCTCTCTCTCTCTCTCTTTCTCTCTCTCTCTCTCTCTCTCTCTTTCTCTCTCTCTCTTTCTCTCTTTCTCTCTCTCTCCTTTCCCCCCTCTCTCTTTCCCATCTGCTTTCTCTGAAAATCAATGGAAAAAATATCTGGGTAAGAATTAACTCAAAAAAAATTTTTTAATCAATGAATAAAAATTAAAAAACAAGACAAAAATGCAACTACTCTCTTGTTCCTTCTCCTTCGTGTGTTCCACAGTCCCCTGGGCAGAAATAGCTGGAAAACAGTGACTCACGTTCTCAACAGCCTCTGGGCCCACCTGCCACGTCCCTGGTCTCCTAAGCTGCCCCAGCAAGCACCAGCCTCCTCAGAGACCAGGCTAGCATTGAGACTTCCCGAAGGGGCTCTCCATGATGCTACATGTGTGTGTTTTCTGAGCCTCACAGGGTAGAGGGGCAAAGGAGCTCTTCTCCCTGGACACACAGGTTTCTCAGGTAGCATGGTCTCAGGTATGTCTAGATCCAGTGCCTCTGGTTGATCTCCTAAAAAAGCTGCCCTTCCCTGTCTTTTGGCTCTGCTTTCTTCGTTTTTCTGTGTTTGGCATCATTCAAAGACGCCAAGTGGAGACCAGGCTGCCACCAGAAGTTCTAGACTTATATCAACCATGCTGCCTGTAGTTCTGAGGTTTATGGGAGAGAGGGTAGAATTTCAAAATTAATTTCCTGTGGCTTTGATTGTATCATACATGGTCTAAGTTGGTCCTGTGTCCAGTGATATGTGGTGTTTTGATTGGTCAGGACTGAGGTCATCAGGAGTATCATCAGCTCTGTCCTAGTCCTTAAAGACCAAGAATTAAGAGTGAAGCCTGGCTGGTGTGACTCCATGATTGACCATCAGCCTGTGAATCAGGAGGTCACGGTTTGATGCCCAGTCAGGGCACATACCTGGGTTGTGGGTTTGCTCCCCGATCCAGGTCAAGTCACATGCAGGAGGCAATCAATCAATGTGTCTCTCTCACATCGATGTTTCTTTCTTTCTCTCCCTCTCTCCCTTCCATTCTCTCTAAAAATCAATAGAAAAATATATTCAGATGAAGATTAACAGCAACAAAAAAAGAGCAGGGTGGTTGCCCAGGATAATCAGGGTGGTATTGCACAATGAGAATGTTATTGCAGGAAAAGGAGGGGACTCTGGGTAGGCAGGTATAAGAGATACTCATCCAGGGTGGTGAAGACCTGGGAGGGGTGATGAGTGCAGGGTGGAAGGGGTCAATGGGGGAAAAAAGAGGGCTATCTGTAATATTTTCAATAATAAAGATAAATTTTAAAAACGAGAGATGCTCACCCTGAGCCTAAAAAAGTGCAGAAACCCTGAGGAGAGAGCACATCACTCTACCTAGGGGGTTTGGGAAGGCTTCCCAAAGGAAAGGACATTTGGAGCTGGGTGTTGAAGGATAAATAGGAGTTTGCCAAGTAGCTTATGACCCAATGGGGAGTGAAACAGGCATCTAGGCAGAAAGCTGATCATTGCTCATATGTCCCATCTCTGTGTCCAGCGATGGTCCCTTCTGCCGGATCTGCCACGAGGGAGCGAACGGGGAGAGCTTGCTGTCTCCGTGTGGCTGCACCGGCACACTGGGCGCCGTGCACAAGAGCTGTCTGGAGAGGTGGCTTTCCTCATCCAACACCAGCTACTGTGAGCTGTGCCATACACAGTTCGCAGTGGAGAAGCGGCCGCGGCCCCTCACAGAGGTATGCTTAGGAGCATGAGGTTGGAGGGGGCAAGGGAGGGAGGCAGGAATGGGTCCAGAGGAGGGAACTGCCCAGAGCATCCTGGGGGGCTGAGGAAGCAGCTTCTTTATAGGATGAACCTCCTGCCTTCCTCCACTCTAGGGTAGAGTCCGCTGGGGGGAAGGAACTAGGCCTAAGCTTCCAGATCTGACAAACCCTGTGCCTGCCCTCTCCCTGTACTGGTCATTTTAAGTGATCTCTGAACCGGAGACCTGAGGAGTGAAAAGGAGCCAGCAATGCCCATTACCCAGGGAGGGCAGTCCTGGCAGAGGGCACAGCAAGTGCAGAGGCCCCAAAACAGGAAGAGCTGAGTGTGCTTGACAAAGCCCAAGTGGCCAGAGTGGAACAAGCGAAAGCAGGAGGGGAGCCTGGCCAGAATGGCTCCGTGGTTGAGGATGACCTATGAGCCAGGAGGTCACTGTTCGATAACTGGTCAGGGAACATGCCCAGGTTGCATGCTCGATCTCCAGTGAGGGGCACGCAGGAGGCAGCCAATCAGTGACTCTCTTTCATCATTAGTGTTTCTCTCCCTCTCTCTTCCTCTCTGAAATCAATAAGGAGGAGGAGAGAAACCTAGAGGGAGGTGGTAGCAGCCACACTGGGTTTTGTGGTCCTTGCTGCGGGTTAGAATTTAGCCTGAGTGGGGTGTGTCTGGGCAGAGATAGGGCATTCCCGGGCATAGCTGTTTCCCTGCTCCTTAGAGCTCTGTCTGCGGACCACCCGGAGGCTCTTCATGCCCCTCTCTGCCCAGCTGGGCAGAGGCTGCTGAGAGCTACGGGTGATGACAGTGGGCTGAGGTGTGGGCTCAGAAAGGTTCTGGCACATGTGGGAATGGGCTCTTAGAGCAGGGGAAGGAGAGCTTGCCCTGCCTGTATCCCCCTTCTCCTCACGCTCCAGCCACCCGGGCCTCCTTCCTACATACTTTGTCCTGGTCACACACTCCCGACTCGGGGCCTCTGCCTTTGTTGTTCCTGCCGCCTGGAGTGCTGTCTCCCCATTCTTTTTTCTTTTTCTTTTTTTTTTCTTTTTTTTTAATATCTGTTATTTTTAAAATATATATATTTTATTGATTTGTTTACAGAGAAGAAGGGAGAAGGATAGAGAGAGTTAGAAATATCAATCAGCTGCCTCCTGCACACCCCCTACTGGGGATGTGCCCTTGACAGGAATCGAACCTGGGACACTAGATTTTTATCCACTGAGCCAAACCAATTAGGGCTTCCCATTCTTCACATGGCTCCTTCTGCTCATCTGGTCCTCAATGTCACCTCCTCAGCAAGGCCTTCCCCTCTGAGCACCCACTGTTTTGTACCTCACGCCATTGGCACTGGAAGGCAGGGACCCTCTCTGTCCTGTTCATCAGAATTTCATGAGTGAAGCCGTTTTTCTCGCCCACTCACCTGTGACAGGCAGTGTAGCACAGCGTTCAAGGGCACACAGACCCTGGAGCAAGACTTCCTGGCTCCCAGTCCTGGCTTTGTGAGTTTGTGTAAGTTCGCACAAATGAGTCAGCCCCTCTGTGCCTCTGTTTCCCCATCTGTAAAATGAGGCCAAATTGCCCCGCAGTGCCTGGGTTACTATAGGCTCATTAAGTATTTGTAAGAAGAACAGGAGGGAGGAAGGTGCCAGGCGGGAGGCTGGGCCTGCGGGGTCCAGGGCCCGTGGTCACAGCGGTGTCGGCAGAGGGAGGCACAGGGTCTGGAGGTCTTGCACCTGCTCCCTGGGTTGGAAGAGCTGAAGGGTGGTGTGTCGCTTCTCTCAGCAGCTCCCTCCTTTCCTTACCCCTGGCAGTGGCTGAAGGACCCGGGGCCTCGGACAGAGAAGCGGACGCTGTGCTGTGACATGGTGTGTTTCCTGTTCATCACTCCTCTAGCCGCCATCTCGGGCTGGCTGTGCCTGCGCGGGGCCCAGGATCACCTCCAGCTGCACGGCCGGCTCGAGGCGATGGGGCTCATTGCCCTCACCATTGCCCTCTTCACCATCTACGTCCTTTGGACGCTGGTGAGTGGCTGTCAGCCAGAGGGCAGTTGTCGAAGGGTCTCTGGCTGACAGCAGCCAGACCAGGGTTCGGTCAGTGGCTTGGGGAGGGGAGATCCTTCCTGTCTCTCCGTGTAGCCCTGGGTGAAACCTCAGGTTCCAAACCCAACCCAGGTTTAGTTCCCTGAGCTGGGTGAGCCTTCTGTTCCAAGGAGACCAGGGCACCTGATCACCAGTGCTGAGTGTAAACCCTGCCATCCACGAGCCCACCAAGACTGGACAGGGCTGGCAGGAAAGGGAGAGGGAGGGAAGGAGAGAGGAGGGAGGGAGAATGGGAGGGGGGAGAGAGAGAGAGAGAAAGAAAGAGAGAGAGAGAGAGGCACCAAACGTCAGAAAGAGCAGGAGAATGGGAGACCCAGAGAAGAGTAAATCAAGAGACTGAGAAAAAAAGCTACGGAAAGAGAGAGCCGGGGACTGGGGTGGAGGAGTTGTCAGGCCTCTGGCAGGCGTTAGAACCTTCCTCAGAGAGAAAAGGGCCTCCAAAGTCTTGCCCCTCAGGTATAACCACTGGTGCCTGCCTGTGGGGCATTCCCACCTCAATAATTACTGTTCATTGCATTTACCAGTATATTTAAAAAATATATAAATAGGATGACACAGGTGCTGATTTGCAGTCTGCTTGTTTTAACTTTGCTAATGTCCTTTAAATAAAAAGGGCAGCCACCAGCAGTCATTCATTGTATGGGTGTATAACATTGACTTAATCCCTTTGATAGGGTCTGAAGTTCATTTTTCTTCCTTTTTTTTCATGCTGTTATGAACAGTGCTTTGGGCACAACTCATGTAAATGTTTCTTGGAAATTGCTTGGTCAAAGAGTATAAACCATTGACATTTATTTTAAAATAATTTGTATAGACTTTGTTTATTAGAACATTTTAAGATTCTAATAAATAAAGCAAAATTGATCAGAAAGTATAGAGTTCTCATATATTCTCCTCCATACACAGAGCTTCCCCCCCTCTATCCACATGGCACCAGAAGGTACATTTCTTACAATTAATGAATCTCCATTGATACATCATTATTACCCCAAGTTCATAGGTTACATTAGGGTTCATCCTGGGTAGTACATCCTGTGGGTTTGGATAAATGTATCATGACATGTATCCACCGGGACAGTATCATACAGAGCAGTTTTACTGCCCTAAGAATCCTCCATGCCCCTGCTATTCATCCCTCCTCTCCTATCCTCAGCTCCTGACAACTCCATAGCTTTGCCTTTTCCAGAATGTCAGAGTGTTGAAATTATGCAGTTCGTAGCCTTTTTAGACTGGCTTCTTTCACTTAGGAACATACATTTAAGTAAGGTTCCTCCGTGTCCTTTCATAGCCGGCTAGCTCATTTCTTTTTAGTGCTGAATATTTCATCGTCTGATGTCCCACAGTTTATTTATCTGTTCACTTACTGAAGGATATCTTGGTGGTTTCCAAGTGTTGGCAATTATATAATCACATTCAAGTGGCCATACCACCCTCTGAGAGACCCTCACATTGGCAGGGTCTTGAACGCTGGAGACCTTCCCCACAATAGTGAATGGGTTTGTGTGCACAGTCTGTATGAAAAATACCTGGCAGCTGTCTCTTTTTCTGGAAGTTTGAGCCAGTGTCTCAGGAGTCCAGTTTTCTTCCCTTGGGGGTGGAGGCCTGCTGGCTGACCTTCTCACCCCCCTCTGCACCGCCCCGTAGGTCTCCTTCCGCTATCATTACCAGCTGTACACTGAGTGGAGAAGGACCAACCAGAAAGTACACCTGAAGATCCGGGACATGGAGGGCGCCGAGGCTACCCAGCACTCCCTGCTGGCAGCAGGCTTCCTGAAGAAGGTGGCAGAGGAGACGCCTGTGTGAAGGCTGAGCTGGCAGGCCAGAGGCAGCTGACGATGCCCTGGCTTTTGGAAGAAGGGAAACTGCCCGACCCTTCCTGCACGGCCAGAATGCTTCTTAGGCCCAGAGATGGCGAGTGGAGCTGGTTCTGTGGGCCTGTGCAAAGATGTTTCCAGATTGTTTTGCACATGTTGTGTAAGAGGAGGACAGATGGAAGTGGTCCTGAGCTGCACGTGGAGCAGGCACCCTGATCTCATTCTGAGGGCCACTCAGCTCCTTGCGGGCCGGCAGCCATGGCCATACGCTAGCTGAGGGTGTCCATGGGGCTGGAGGTTCCGCAAGCTTCTTATGCTTCTCTGCATCTGGCAGGCTTACTTTCCTGGCACCTTGACTTTATAAAGTTGCACTGAGTTTCAAAAACCCACCCTGAATGAATAAAAGGAGCCCTTGCTGGATAAAATGGACGTGTCAATTGTATTTAGAACTAAGGGCTCAAAGTAAGGGACGTGGGGCCAAGGGGAGTCAGGGACCACACAGAGGTTTTTAAAAAATGCGCTGGTTTGAAGGGTCTGTTGTGAAACACGGCAGAAGCAGCTAAATCTGAGTTTTCAAGTGAAGAGCAGGTAGTATGGTTATTTTGCATCCACTTATTTGTGGGCCAGATACAATGTACACACTTATTGAGGGTCACCCAGGAGGAGGCTCAGTTCACAATTTTCAAAGACTTCCTCCAACTCTCACTAGCATTCTCAGCAGGAAGAATGGCTGTTACCTTCCTTTACAGATGAGAATACGGAGGGCCAGAGCAGGGAATCTTCTAAGACCCCACAGTTCTAGGATGCAGAGTTGGGACTGACCATGGGCCTGCATGGCCCCAGTGCTGAGCTTCATGCTTTCCCCTTCAGGAGGACTCAGGGAAGATGACATGTCAATAATAGTACCCACTTATTTTTAATCCTCACCTGAGGACATGCTTTAGAGAGAGGAAGAGGGGAGGAGAGAGAGGGAGAGATGGGGAGAAGGGGAGAGGGAGAAAAGGAGAGAGACATTGAAAAGTGTCCCAGCCAGGGATCACAACCCGGGCATGTGTACTGACCAGAAATCAAACTGGCAAGCTTTTGGTGCACAGGTTGCCGCTCAGGTAACAGCCACTCTGGCTGGGCAATAGCACTCTCTCACTTCTGAGCCTTTTATGTTTGAGGGCGTTCTGCATCAGGTCCCATTTAATACTCAGACCAGCCCCGAAAGGTAGGTTCTGTATTCTCTCATTGATCTCACTGACAGGTGAGCAAAGTGGGGCTCAGAGCAATGGGACACTTGTCCAACGTCATTCATTCATGATGGTCCTAGCACGGTTCTATTGTTTTCTGCATGAATCTCTGACTGGTCTGTGGCTCCTCGAGACCAGACTGGCTGTGGCGTGGAAGGAACCACAAAGAGCAAAGGCCTGGGGACCGGAGCCTGTGAGGCCTGTGGAAGCAGCAGCATGGCAGACGATGGTGCTGGGGCAATGTGATGGGAGGGGGGGAGGGGAGAGGGATAGGAGAGAGGTAGAAAGACAAGTAGGGCTTTGTAAGCATCTGGGGGTCTGCAGAAAAACAGGATTATAACTTTAAAAAAATTTTTTTTATTGATTTCAGAGAGGAAAGGAGAGGGAGAGTTAGAAACATCAATGATGAGAATCATTGATCAGCTGCCTTCTGCACACCCCACATTGGGGATTGAGCCCGAAACCCAGGCATGTGCCTGGCCTGGAATGGAACCATGACCTCCTGGCTCATAGGTCGATGCCCTGAGCCACACTGGCCGAGCTATACCTTTTGCCTTTGCAGCGCTCACTCTCTGCCCCGGCCTAGCCCTTGGAGGGTGGTACCACTGAGATAATGCAAAGGAGCCCCAGGATATAGCATCATGAAATAAGAAAGTTGTTTTCTTTACAAATCTCTTCTGAGACTTTCAATTAGGTATAGGAGAAAGCTGCAGCTTGGTGCTAGGCTCTTTAATGACCTCTAACCTTGGCAAAGAGAGCAAGTCATGGGCTCAGAGCCTTTGGCAGCATGCATACCGAATTCATACTGAATAGTGTCACCCTCATATTTATGTAGCATCAATCTCTTACTTACATATCCTCAAATATATGTATTTGAGAGAACATGTATTAAAGCTGGGGACAGTGAAACAAGGAAGGGCTTACGTAAGGCTGCTTTGGCTCCCTGGGCAGTAAAGCCACGGTGACAGGAGGAAAGGCAGGGCAGGGCTGGCTCACTGACAAGTCAGAGAAGAGGGGGTCTTGGAAACAAGTTCGGGTGGCAAGCCCAGGAGGAGCTGCCGCTGCCATTGCTCCCTTGGTTGGGACCCTTAAAACTTAGGAAGGAGCCAAAACCGGTTTGGCTCAGTGGATAGAGCGTCGGCCTGTGAACTGAAGGGTCCTGGGTTCGATTCCGGTCAAGGGCATGTACCTTGGTTGAGGGCACATCCTCAGTAGGGGGTGTGCAAGAGGCAGCTGATCGATGATTCTCTCTCATTGATGTTTCTAACTATCTATCCCTCTCTCTTCCTCTCTGTAAAAAATCAATAAAATAAAAGAAGTGCCTAAAGAAATTCAAGGGCAGGTACTAATGAGGATGAAGCAGGAAATGGAATCCAGGCTGCTGCTCCTCACTTAAAAAAAAAACCACAAAACTTAGGAAGGAAAAGAAAAAAAATGCCTGAGGAAGAAATGGGGAGGAATAAGCTATTTTTTTTTTTTTTTTTTTACAAGAAGCTCTTTATAGCGACTTTACAATATGGGCTATGATGTAAAAGCACGATTTTAAAAATACAATTAAAATTAATTATGAGAGAGATTTGTTGTTCCACTTATTTATGCTTTTATTGGTTGAATCTTAGAGGTGCCCCGACTGGGATTGAAACAATCAGGACGATGCTCTAACCAACTAAGCTACCTGGCCAGGGCAATTTTTTAATTGAATTTATTGGGGTGACATCAGTTTATAAAATTTTATGTTTCAAGTGTACAATTCTATAATCGTATATTGTATTGTGTGTTCACCACACAGTCTCCTTCAATCACCTCTTATCTTCTCTATATCCTCTTCTACCTCCCCCATCCCCCTTTCCCTCCAGTAATCACTATACTGTTGTCGGTGTCTATGTTTTGTTTTTTGTTTTAATTCAAATTATAAGACAAAGTTTATTTAGAAGGTTACAGAGGTAGTCGAAGGGAGCCAGCTGGGCTTACGGCTCAGTAAACAAGTTACAGAGGCAGAAGGGCCTATGGCATTTAGGAGAGAGGCAAAGGGAAGGGGTTGCAGATGGGGGGGGGGGGCGCGGAAAGGTCAGACAGGTGTTTCCCAGATGGAGAGTGTGCCTGAGTTTTTTTGTTTGTGTTGGCTTAATCTTTTTACTTTTTTTTTAATTAAAAATTTTTTTTAAATTAAATTATTATCTTTGTACATATACCATTGTCCCCTACTCCCATACATGCCCTCCCTTGCCAGAGTTTTGTGTCCATTGGTTGTACTTATATGCATGTATATAAGTCCTTCGGTTCATCTCTTATCTCCCCCAGATAATCTTTTTACTTTTTGACCCAGATCCCCAAACCCCATAAAGCACAATTTAAAACATATGCTTTTAAAGGAAAATAAAGTGTATTCATTAAAGGAAAGTGTGAAGGAAATACTAGTTCAGAAGACGGCAAAGCCCAGGAATTTGGGCAGCGTTGGGTCAAGTCACCAGCCTGTAGGAGCCCTCAGATTGGAAGGGAAGAGAGTTTGTCTCCTCGGCCCGGGCCTGGTTTCTCACTAATCTCCAGTCACACCCACTGCAGGAGGAAGATCAGAGAGGTAGCTTCTTGTCCCTGATGCTTTGCATTTGGATTCCTCCCTGATTCTGACAGGCTGCTGTGGTCTCTTCCCCATCTCTGAGCCCTGCTGGGCAAGGACATTCAGAGGTTTGTGAGCCTTCTGTTCCAGGCTTCCCTCTGGTATAGAAGTCTAAGGGAGAGGGAGGTAAACTGAGATAGATTCCAGTAGGGTCATGGGAGAAAAGTTGGTGTGCACAGTGGATTTTGGTAGAGATTTCAGGAGGGGGTGTGGGAGAGGGACTTGATGGATGGGAGAAGGGAATTCTGTGAGACAGGTGAGTTTGAGACGTAGGAATGGAACTGAAAAGGGAGGAGGAGGCATAGCCTCCTGTCAGGCTACGCTATCAGATGCATTTATTCTCTGGGCCCAGAGTTCTGAACCTGGATCAGAATCACCAGGCAGAATTAAGCAGCTACGAGGGTGTGGCAAGTGATATATTCTCCCAGAGCCTAATAGAATGCAATCATTCTGTGTGAGAGATGAAAAAAAAACAACAACACAAAAACCACAAAGTAAACCCAACCACTTTCCCTCTGTGAGCCTAGGCCAGTGGACGGCAAACTCGTTAGTCAACAGAGCCCAAATAGCAACAGTCTAACGATTGAAATTTCTTTTGAGAGCCAAATTTTTAAAACTATATAGGTAGGTACGTTGTTATTAACTTAATTAGGGTACTCCTAGACTGGTCTTTGCTAAAATTTCAAAGGGCTAAAGAGCCGCATGTGGCTCGTGAGCCGCAGTTTGCCGACCACTGGCCTAGAGAGAGTTTGGTGGTTAGATGAGAACTCCTGCAAGATTCAGTGAAGTGTTTCAAAGTTCCAGAGACACCAGAGGGATGGGGAGCTGCCGGGGAAAGAGGCCTGAACCTCTGAAGGCTCCCCTAGACTGGCCTCTTCCCTGTGCCCTCCCCGACAGTCTGTACAAGCCTTAATAACCCAGATGGGAGTAGGGACAAGCCCGCAGGGCAGAAGGACTCTGGGTCAAGCAGAAGAGCCCCAGAAATGGCCTGCAGCTCATTTCTTCCATCACATTTGGCTACTTGCTTGTTCATTCACTCAACAAACATCTATGAGCACGTACTGGGTCCTCAGCTATATTATACATTTGGTGATGGGTTGATGGGTTCATTGAAAAACACAGGCTATGAGCTCTGCA